CTTTCCTTCTCTTGGGGCCCAGCACCCTCCTGTTTCTGGTGCTCTTCCACTCGCCTCCCCTTCTCTCCACCGTCTTTTCTGCTGTCTTCCCTCCAGTTGCCCTAACCATCCTCCCTCTCTCTTTCTCTCTTTCCTTTCTCATTCTTGCCCTCTCCCTTTCTCACTCCTCCCCCTCCCCCCTCTTTCAGCTGCTGGTTTCTCTTCCTCCCTTCTGCTCCCTTCCCTGCTCCAGTCAGATTTCTCTCTCCCCTCTCCATTCTCTCCCCCTGTTTCTTCCAATTGTCTGCTGCTCACAGAATACATTAGATCTGAGGCAACTGGGGGGTGTGAAGACCCTGACACTCTTTATCCTTCTCCCTCAACTCATCGGCCAGAAAACTGGTCATATCTTAGGATGTATCAACCCGGTCATGTGCTCCAGAGCATCTTTATAATGATCCTTACCAAGAGAGGGGTCTGCCCAGGTTTAGATTTCTTCCTTGCCACCTAGAGTCATGGGGACACATTCTGTTTCTGACTCCCTGCCATCCTTTGAAGTCACTGGCCCCATGGCAGATGGACTGGTCAAAGGGGCGGTGGGGAGGGGAGCGTAGGAGGCACCTGGAAACCAACTTGGGTCCAGATCCTGGCTGAACAGCCAGAGACCTTAGAGGATTGAATGGGGCAGATGCAAATGCTGGGGGTATTGTGGAAGATTTGCCTCCGCTACCTGCGGGCCAGCTGCTTCTGCTCCAGGTTCCAGGTCCTCAGGGCCCCGCAGGAACCACCACTGGATCTCCAGGTACACAGAGGCGGAGCCGCTCTGGAAAGCACAGGACATCTCCACATTCTGCCCCTCGATCGCTGTCACATTCCGTGGAAACTCGGTGAATTTGGCTGCAAAAGAGTAAAGCGTCCGTTTGGAATATCTACACCATTCTTCTCAGCGTTTCCTTCTTTGAGAGCTCCCTGCATTTTCTTTCTTTTTTTACGTCGCCTAGCTTCCCAGTCCCCCTTTGTCTGTCTTATTTTTGGTATAGTGCCTACATCATTTTGTTGCTGATCAAATCGGGATAATGGGAAGGTTAATGAGCTTGCCAGTAACTCCCCCTCTGTTAGCTAAGCTGCTCACTGTGGTTTCCAAACGTCGTGTGTCAGATTGCAGTATTCTCCCAAACTTACCGAAGGATTCAGTGCCACACCATGCCGACGAACTGTGGAGTTGATATCTAATCAAGCCAGTAGCGCCTACATTTCTAAGCAGGCTCTGGCTGATTAGGTGCTTCGTGTAATAGAGAGGGGCCATGGTTATCTGTCAAAATGCACATTCCAGCTACACATAGACATGAATGAATCAGTGTGCCTGGAGCCTACAGCAGTGGGAAACCCCTCACCCACTTTCTAAACTGTGTATATGTCCCTCTAAATTAGCCTTCTTGTGTGTGCTCATGAAGCTATAGATCTTAAATGGCAAGAGTCTCACAAATCCTGGTTTAAGACAAAGTACAGGTTATTTTGAAGTCAGTACCGTACCTCCCACCCTCCCCCCACTTGGGTCCCAGTTTTTCATTACCAGCCTTGCCACTTCTAGTTTGCAAGATTTTATGGAGGCATGGTGAAACTTATACAAAAATCTCCTCCCTTCCAAACACCCTTCTTTCACAGGGAATGCTTGGGATGGTTGCTTTTACCTTGTCTCGGGGACACTGTACAGAAAGCTGACAAATTCCTAAAAGTGATCTTGGAATGGCTTGTGGCTGAGGGGAGTGCACATGTACAAGGCACCCTTAGAAAACCTAATAGAGGGGGCTGCAGGACTGACTGAGATTGGATACACTAACACACACACGCTTTTTAAAGACAGACTCCATCAGCATCTCTTTGCAAAATTGTATGAAATCCCCAAATAAGCTCTGTTACAACAGCCCTGTCTTTTTTACTTTAAAGAGGATGGGAGAGGATATAGAGAAGACATCTCAACATCTGAAAAAGACTTTCCTGTTGGGGCTAGGAGTCTGGGATTTCTGCTTGCCTAAGTGATGCAGCTTTCTGGCAGCAGCGATGTGATCTGTTCGTGGTACTGAAATGATCACTGCAGCCTGGAAGTCCTAACAACTGGATTCAGCAGGGCTGCTGCTGTTTGTATGCAAGTCGTGCCCTTTTTTGGGTCCTCGGAGGAGTCTGTCCTTTGATAAAGATACATGCATACAAAGTCACGGGGTCCAAGAAAA